TCAAGACAGTGGAATTAAGAGGAAAGAAAATCAAATTACAAATATGGTAAGTTATGGAATGTTAAATATTTCTAAACACCCTTTAATCTATGCATTTACAGGGACACTGCTGGTCAAGAAAGATTTCATACTATTACTACCTCATACTACAGAGGTGCAATGGGGATTATGCTTGTTTATGACATTACTAACGAGAAAACATTTGAAAACATCGTCAAATGGTTAAGAAATATTGATGAAGTGAGTATAATTGATCATTTTTTTAATGGGGATAAATAGACATATTAGCTGCAATTTGTATTGTTTTATTTTTTTATCATTACAGCATGCAAATGAAGATGTAGAAAAAATGATATTAGGGAATAAAAGTGATATGGAGGACAGACGTGTTGTCACCACAGAAAGAGGGGAAGCGGTAAAATAATCAAAATTTAGTTATTATGATGTTATGAATTATATTTTATGAGCAAATATTTAATAAGTTAATGTAACTTACAGATAGCAAGAGAACATGGTATTAGATTTATGGAAACATCTGCAAAGGCAAATATTAACATTGATCGTGCGTTTAGTGAATTAGCTGAAGCAATATTGGAAAAAACACATGGAAAAGAACCCCAAGATGCTCCTGACAGGGTAACAGTTGATCGAAGGGTGGAAAGAAGTTCTAATCGGTGCTGCTAATTTTATATTATTTATTTTAATGGCGCATAATAAACTATATATCAGCTCGTGCCACTCAAAATAGATTTGTGGATAGATTTAGGGCATAATTTAAAGCATAATAGTATAATTAAACTCTTCACAACACTGCCTAATCAAATTCAATTTAACTTATTCGATAACAATTCAAACAAAACATGTAACTCAGAGTACGAAAAGGAACATTTCTCATTCAAAGAGTGAAGTTTTTAATTAAATTTGGGTTTCAAAGGGTGGGACATAAATGCTATTTGTCACTTATATAATTGTACTTACTAATATGTTTACTGCATGTATACAAATACTGAAGTTCTATCAGAGTTTTTATAAATAATATAAGAAATCGATAATAAGTACTGCTGATAGGGCTTTGTTTTTCATATGAAACTCCATGCGTTGTTGCACGAACAAAGTCAACTAGGAACAATTTATTTGCTATGAGGCTGCAATTTGTTACCATATTAAGAAGAGTGAGAATGAACGTGGGCTTTTAATCTTTAAAATCTATGTGAACATTGAATGCTTTTTCATACAGACATCACACTATATATATATGCTTATTTACATTTTAAGTTAAAATCTGAAAGCTTAAGATCAAGAGCTTTTATCCTATTTGTGTAAGACTAATTTACCACAAATATAAAAATATTCACAATTTTCAAGCACTTGTTTTCTTATTTCCTTCACAATAAATATAATGTATAATAATATTGGTGTATATATAATAATGGTACTGTAGAAGTTTTATTACAATGTACAGTTGTAACATTTAACTGAAATTATTATTTGAAACATTCATAACAGAAAATATAATTATTCGTCGATACTTTAAAATTTGTTTATTACTCGAATAATATTAATAAAGATTATTATTAACAGAACATCTATTTACTAAATATATATATATATATATATATATACACATGTATGTAATTATGCGTTTACATTTATAACGTGACTTCAAAAACTGCAACAATATTCAAATATTTCTGTACTAATCTAAATACGTATATAAACATTAAATCATTTTCTCGTATCAATAACCAAATCAATCATGTGCTGGATATAAGGACTCTCTACGTGTAATAACATAGTATGAGAAAAATAATTTATGGGATTTAAGGAAATTTGATGTAGATGAATAATACTTTTTTTAATAAAAATACAATAGATATGAGACAAAGAAGGATAAATACAGGTATTTGTAATGCTTTTACATTCATGAAAATCTTATACTCTTAACTATAAACCACAATCACCTTGGCTTTCAAGGTAAGCATAGGAATTACTTTGAATAGTAAGACTAGAAGTTAAACTTTAATGCATTCACTTTTTTCTCTGTACTTCTTGTAGTAGCAATAATTTGAAAATATGTAAAAGCTATTATTTCATAGAAATTAATGTTTGTTATATGCTGTAAAACTTTTCATATTTTCATTATTTATCTGTAATACTCTCTCTATGACAAAAATGAAAGAGAGTTAAAACAGAATAATAACAAATAAAAGCATTTTACGATTAAAATTAATCCAGCGACTGACGTAACTTTATATACCGTAATATTTAATCGTTCGATGCCCCAATAATGGTTAAAATATAAATGAAAATGTTAACAATATCCAAGTAAAGATTCAACGCCGCAAAAATATATTCCTCGGGAGAAATTGAGTATTTGTGTGAGCCCCCCATCATTAGTTGCGTGTCGTAGATCAAGTATATAGAGAACAGTAAGGCTCCAAGCGATGCATAGACCAAAGTCATAATGCGTCCGTGCCAAATCATTGCGATTAATCCAAAAACGACAAAAATTAATAACGCAACGAAAAGAATACCGTTTAAAGCAGTGAAATCAAATTTCGTTTGGAATGCAAACAATGTTAATCCAAGGCAAACAGCTGCTGTAATTCCAACGGCCAATAGTACCTATAAATATTTTAAAATGTATGGTAAACTATATGAAGTTAATGTGACAATGTTTTAACAGTCTTACCTCATGAGAGCTGTAAGTAGAAGCAGCAGTCGCTAACAGAAAACCTTCCGCTATCGTGAATAAGAATAAGAATATAAAATTCATTGGAGCTTTTCGTCTCACACTTGTACAGCAAGCCATACATATAATCAAAACTATAGTAACGGCAAAACATATCCAAAATAACTCTGGATGTGCCAACACCCAGAGCTTAGTAGGTTTATGGAAAAGGAATAATGCTATCATCGACAACGTTATCAGAAGTTGACACATTAGCACACTGTAAACCTTCCTGAAAAAAAGGATATCATATTACAGTTAAGAATGTTTCAAAATACAGTCTTAATTAACATACAAACCTAATGAATCCACGTCTGATTGAATTATTATCGAAGCTAAATCCTTTGACCTCATCCTGACCAGGATCTTCAGCATAATTTGAATCATACATGTTTGGATGTGCTGAAAATCCGCCCTGTGCTGGCGGTGGTCCTCCAGGAGGAATAAATCCAGGTGCTATAACAAAATCAAACAACAAAAATTATATAATTCGTAGAGAAATATTATCAGTAAAATAAAAGATACTAAATGTTTCTTATAAAAGTCAATTAACAATTGTTGCGTGGTGAAAAGTTGGTAGTGACTTTCCGACCTACCCTGTCACGAACTTAACCGTCTCAAGGTTGACAGAAAAATGGAAAAAGGTTGACTGAACCGCACTGGTGTTTAAATCGTATGTATTCATAAAAAATATACAAGATTGAGAGGTCTCGATAGTTGACTGCGGACTGATGTCCCGATGATATGCGGGAGTTGATATTGGGCCCGCTGCCGTGAGTGGACACGTTGATTGGTTGAAATTTACGAAAAAGATACGAGTGATAAGGTGGAAGAAGCAACGCGGCGGGCACATGCTGTTGTAGGGTGTCAATAGTTTAGCCCGTTGGCTGATTCATAGTGACAATATGGAGCAACGAATTCTGATAACAAGAACCGCGAATCCAAAGACAGAAGCGGACGCGACTCCGTGAATATCACGAAGTAACGTGAATTTGGTAAAAGACATTAGAAGTAGAGACGCCGTAGAGTCGTGAGCGAACTTTATAAAAATAGTGTTTGAGTTTTGTTAATATTAATAAAGTAGATACCACTTCAAATCTCTCGATCCTTTGAAATCCCTACACTATAAATGACGTAAAGAATTGGAAATTCCACACTGACCAACCGTTGTTCTACGCTGTCGACTCTCCCCAAGACAACGCACGACGGCCACGTGTCCGAAGTATGTATTTACAAGCAATAAACTCATAAAAAGCGTTAAGTTTATAAAATATGCGATTGCGTCGATTGCGACTCAATGGCATTACGAGCATATTGCCTGTGAGATAACAACAATTTATACCTTCATACTTTGTGTGTATTGAAAAGATTTTATTTGCATAACCTGTTTTTTAAATATATTATTTAATCATCCGTCTTCTTCAGGAAAATTATCAATTCATTTTGTGTGCATCATTAATATAATGCTAACCTGGTGGGATTGTTCCGTATGGAGGAGGATATCCAGGATTAAAGCCGTCCTGAGGTGGTGGATACCCAGGGTTTTGTTGAGGAAAACCTGCACAATTAAAATTCCATATATGAAACATCATACCATAATGAATTTTGCTCTCTAACGTAAGCATTAATGTTCATGAATTTCTATGCTCTAATAATAGCCACTAAACACTGTGCATGATTATAATAAATATTGTTTTCTTTCTCTTTAATAAATAACTTTAATAAATGGCAATAAATGATTCATTCAATAATGGGTTTGATTACAAGAATATTAAATTACCTTCTTTCTACAAATGTGCAAATACTATAACTCTATTATTAGCTTCAAATGATTTTAAATTATGATTATAATGTTCACACACTTGCAGATGATATAAAATGATGATTTTCACTTGAAACAAACATGATGTTTGTGATTTGCTAAAGCTTCTGTTGCAAGTATTAGAGATATAAACGACAATCAATACAGAAAGTACATAATCAAAACACAAAGAAAAAAGAAGAGTAAAACCTTGTTGTCCTGGATAAAATCCTGCACCAGGTGGGCCCTGCCAAGTTGTCATCTTTTGGTATTTCTTTTAACTGAAAAATAATCTATTATTGTAACAAAATATTGTTGCAAAAATATTAATGGAATATTGGCTCACGAATGTGTCAGCAACGTCCAAATTACAATATCACAGCAATCCCTTTACAACTTATTTAAAATCCTTATTATATACAATGATTCGTTATGAAACACATTAAAAATGACAAAAACATTTAAAACAATCAATTTATTAATATTTAGTATATTGATAATATGTAAATATAAGGTAATATGTTTAACAAACATATAATAGTTTAAATTTTTATGACATATATGCTTTCAATATCTTTAACAACCGAAAGAATAAGATGACCAATAGTCAAGAAGTTGTAAACATATTAATCTATAATATATTATAATTTTTAAAAAGTAAAATATTATCTTATCTCAATAATACTGAACAAACATTTAATATACATGATGAATCATACCTAAAATTGTTAAATTTAAACACTGACAGGCATGCGCCCACACTTATAGAAGTTTTTAAAGTAACATGTGATTGATTTAAGATAAATCTATGTCAATGTTTAAAAATATAATTGCATGTAACACATTTCAGTACTATAAATATGAGCTCTGTCACTTTCTCAGAAGATTAATATTAGCTGAAAATATATTTAAAAAACACATCAATTTAAATTTACATTCTATCTAGTTCTTAATTCCCTATTGGTGTCACTTGCAATTTAATATTGCTGTTAGGAAAAATACTAGTTTTCATTAGGAACACATATATACAGTAAGTACACAGAACACATATATGTATTTCTCTTAAATAATACCAGACTCAAAAAAAGCGAAACAAAAAAGGAACAACGAAAGCCACAGAAGTTACGTAGGTTAAACCATATTGCCTCCAGTTCAAAAACGGTCACCGGAAGTTTTTCTTTTTTCACGTATATTTAATTACAACAGACAATAAGTAGTTCCGGTAATAAGGTATAACATTGCGAAATAGTAAACAAAACCATGATGCATCACATTTCCCCGAAACGATACTTAATCGAACAAAACCTTAATGCGGGCATTTTCCATACATTGCTGCAATGTTCTAGAAAAGCAGTCTTTTTCGCAACAGCATTAAAGAAAAAAAGGATTTTGTTTACGATTGCACGTAATATTCACCGAAGAAGTTCACTGCTGTTTGTAAGTCAATTTGGTGCGTCATGCGCACTTTCTAGAAATGGTTACAATCGATAACTACATTCGTGCACCAAACAAATCAAACAATTATTTACCCTTTAAGAAAGTGGTTAAGATTCCGTAACGATGTGTTGAGCGGATTTGCTTGAAATGTTAATTACTCTGATGAATGTCGATAACGTTTACCCTTGCAGTAGAGTTTATACGTAAACGTCACGTTCGCAACAGTAGGAAGATGTCACAGGTCCCCCACTCATCAACCTTCGACTAAAATCTCACGCGAGTAACTGATATGAAGTAGGTTGGCTATTGGGAAGTCTTATTTCAGCTAAATTGCGCTTGCGTATTACGTTTTTCTTGTTCTGCTGTTTACCGTTAATAAAGTTGTTGCAGCACAGAATAAAGGTTCTAACATAATAATATTATAAAATTGCTTCTATCTCCGATAATCAATAAACGTAATTGATAATTTGAACATTATGACATCACTCTGAGATGTTTACATTAATATCTCATTAACTGATATTGCATTCTCCCTTTGGTTACTATATGTATATTAATATATTTATTCATATTTAATAAAACAAAATTTGTCATGTTTTTATACGTGAAACATATTTGTACATTTTAAGATGTTACACTACTTGTGTCATATACGTTGTTAATATGTTAACTTTTTACTTCAAATTTGTTCTATTGGGTATGAAATATTGAATTAACTTCGAAAATGAAATATTTTCATAGAAAAATAAACGTTGATCTTATCCTTCGGATAAATATTATACGAAGAATTTTCATGATTGATGATAAATGAATTTTACGAGTTTTCAAAGATGTGATTTCCTGGAAACATTGATAATATCGATTGTAGATTTACTGGTAACTTTATCTGCACTTGTGAAATATATTACAAGTTTTATATTATAGATATTATCAATATCTTCTTTTAGAATTGTACGCAAATATATTGGGAATCATTTGCAATATATGTAATATAGAATCACGTAATTCTATACTTCTCTATTTTTTTTTGTTTTTGTAATATCAGCTATTTCAATATTTGATAATGAATAATATCTAGACAGAAAAACAGTATATTTTGTATCTTATAAAATGTTGGATAGATATATAACGATTTTTATTAATGTGACATTATGTAATAGAATCTTGTTTTCATTAGACAATAGTAATTATACTATTCCGGTTTTCCTTCAAAACGTTGAACACCTGTTAATTTGCTGTTGCGTAATTATATGATATTGCCGTCTGGTCGGCAAAAGATTTTCACAAACTTTAAAAATTTATTTTGTTCAGAGTCATAAATGAATATGAACAATTTTATTGTAAGTGAAATACAATGTTTTGATGTATTGACAAACGTTAAATATTTTTAAATTACTCCAATTGTTTCTGCATTTTATCCTATTGTCACATTACATATGTCACAACGTTATTGATAATTTCAAGCATACCAAAAGCAAAATAAAACTAGCACTAAATAAAGTTGGTACCAATATAAAAACATGAAAAGATTCGTTCAAAGGTCCACGTGCGTGACAGTTGTGGTTATGTTTTCTAGTGTGTAAATATAGTTTGTACAATTAGATTAACAACATTTTTGTAAATGATTCCACGAATATAAATAAATCATGTCAACCTGTAAAATACATAATATTAGGTTCTATAATTTAGAACCACGTTCTGTTACTTGTTTATCTTATGAGTCAAAAACAAGGAAGTTAGCACTAGCGAGGTTAGTTTTTGAATGTACCTACTTGTGAAGCCAGTATGTTAAATATAATTATAATAAACTTTTTAATTTCTGTCTACAGAAATGACAATTCTATTGAAGTGTGGAATGTTGGAAATGCACCTTTTGTGGAATTTACGATAGCTGGTCACTCAGAAAACTCCATTGAAAGTATCTTGTGGATCGATTCAAGATTATTTTCAACTGGTCTTCATGGAATGATAGCAGAATATAATTTAACAACATTGTCTATTAAACACGAGGTTGCAGTCACAGGAGGTGCTGCTTGGTGTATGGACCTTAATCATAAGAAAACTTGCTTAGCTGTTGGTACAGAGGATGGATACATTAATACATTTAGTGTAACAAATGATTCTTTGATTTATGAAAGAATTTTTGATAAACAAAAGGGAAGAATTCTTTGTATTAAATGGGATAATACGGGAGAAATGATTTATACGGGATCCCTAGACACAATTAGAGTTTGGAATGCTATATCAGGTCATGCGATTTATAAAATGACGACTTCTAGAAAAGAAGCTAAAAAAGAAACTATTATTTGGTGTTTAGCGGTTACAGATGATAATGTTATAGTTTCTGGAGATTCACGTGGATGTTTATCATTTTGGGATCCCCATATGGGTACCTTAATCGAATCCCATGAAAGTCACACTGCAGACATATTAGCTGTTACATTATCTCATGATATGAACGTTGTATATTGTGCTGGTGTTGATCCTGTAGTAAGAAGTTTTTGTAAAATAATTACAAAATCTACTGGTAAACCACAATGGGTAAAAGGAATTGAAAGGAGGTTACATACGCATGATGTGAGAGCTCTGGTAGATGCAGACGGAAAGCTATATTCTGCAGGTGTAGATGGATATCTGGCTCAGTCAAGTTACCCACCCAAGGTTCTCGTTAAATATCCACCGTTACTCCAACTACCATGTTCTACTGTTTGTAGAAAATCTAGGTGCATTCTATTAAGATACACAAATTTTCTTGAATTATGGAGGCTTGGTTCTCCTGTTAAAGTGTCTCCAGAATCTGTACATCCCGGTATGTTTCATCAACTAGAAGAAGAGCCAATAAAGTTGTTGCAATTAAGAACAAAAGGAGATGAGAGTATCATTTCTTGCGCTATTAATAAAGATTCCAAAACAATCGTATATTCAACCGACAGTCATGTTAGAGTATTTAACTTCGATGTTGTCGAAGGAGATGCACAGTTGTCGAAGAATGAATCTGATATTTCTGCAACTAGAATACAGAAAATGTTGTTCAGCCCGAATGGCAAATTATTTGTGACGATTAACAATGATGGAAAAAAAAATACAGTAACATTATATAAAGTAGAAAAGAAACGTTTGAGGTACCTTGGTTACTTCTACACAAATGAGGAGTCCATTCTAAATGTTGGGATCGCTTGTTTCTCGCCGGACAGTAAATATTTCATTTGTGCCGACCGTCAAGGCGCAATTGCTATATACAATATTAGTGAATCTGTGAGTACGGATGCACCCGTGTCATGGTTGCTGCCTAAATACAGTTGCCCTCCAACAGCTATGGCTGTACAGAAAGATACTCTGAATTTGGTCGTTGTATATTCCGATCATAAGGTAAGAAAAACAGGTTTACCTTAATTATCGAATATCAAGACATTACAGCGGCGCAACAGACCGTCGTAAAACGATGAGTTAACAGTAATTACAGCAACCATAAAAAGAAACGTCTAATCCACCCGCAGCATTTCCTGTCTTTCATAGGGCTTGCACTAAATTACTGCTATAACTTCCATCCAATATCTTACCACGAGGAAAATTAAAAACCATAAAACGTCGCGTTTTATCGGTGATTATACTGAGTACTCAATCCCCGGCTTTCATTCCAGATTGTGGAGTACAACCTTCTGCAAAGGCAGTACACGAAATTCTCGAATAATTTGCAAAATCGACTGCCGAAGCAGTGGCTAGCGCGTTCGTTCCCTATAACGAATATAATCTTCGATCCGCGAAACGAGAACATTATAATACTTCACGACGACTCGACGGTGTACGTGATCAATAAATCGAATGAACTCCCGGATAAAGAAGCTAAGATACCAAGACGAGAAAATGGTGAAATTACGGAGGACAGTAGTTCCATGTTGAGTTCACAGTCCCAGCAAGCTTTCCAAGTTCTTAAGAAGTACAAGGTAATTTCTTTCAAGATTTTTCGTCGCAAGCTCCAAGTGAAAATAAGATGGTTTTATATACGTTATTTACAGCACCTGGTTTATTTAGACTGGTTAAATGACGAGGAAATGGTCGCGGTCGAAGTGAACCCAATATCTTTGACAGAAAAATTACCGCCGACCCTCAGACAGAAATGGTTCGGAGTGTAAATAAAGCCCTGTGTTAGCCCGACGAAATGTTATGTACAAAGTTACCCACATATTTTCTATATTAATATTATTCCAACATTTTTCATGTTTTTAAAAAGAAACACTGTCATTATCACGCTGTTTATATCTGAACTCCAACAATCTATTTTTTAATATACGTGTTGCAGTGTATGATGCATTGTATACAAAAAAAAAAGTATATATACATATATATACATTCAATGGTTTCATATTATTCCCTTAATTCAGTTTTTACGTACTGTAGAACTAATTATCTTCTTTCATATTGCATGCTTTATGGAAGTTTAACTTAACGTTACGCGTCAACCGAGAAAGATGAATCTTTGTTGTGTAACGCGGAACTCGTGGGGTTCGACGGGGGGTTCGATCGTCCATCTTGGCGAGATGTACCATCGACCGGTGAACTCGAGATTGTATTCCGGCCGGGTCGAGCGGAGGCCTACCATCCCGGATGTCGTTCTGGGAATGGCCGGCGACGGTTTTAGGGGAATCGGCGAACGTTTAATCGCATCTTCCGGCGGTTTGCGTTCGAAGGTCTCCGCCGGAAGTCCCTTCTTTCTGCATTCTTCGGCCAGCACCTACGGTCAACGACACCGGGAGACACATTAAAATTCGTGTACTGAGTATCGTTGACGCTGCATCGTGTCTCCCACTCGAACATCCACGCGGTACCTTTTTAAAAAATTCACCGGTCAGTTGTTCGTACTTTTCAGGCCAATTCCGTCGAAACATCTTGTCCTGTAAATTAACTTCTTTGCTAAAATTCACACAATCTTATTACCCGACAAATGATTTTCATTGCGCGATGGAAAAGTTTTCCTCTATCACATATGTACCAAATCTTGTCGAAGGTAACTGGATTCCTCGCGTGATCTCTCCGTTTCGAGATCTTCCAGTCCTCGATTTTATCTTGCACTTTGTCAGCCATTTTTTTATGATCTTTCACAAGAGAAACGAAAAGACTTCACAGTGTTAGAGGAGCGGAAAAAAGGTAACAGCGTAACTGCAAGAACGTCAGAGGGTAGTCCCCTGCTTCCAACGTTTCCTACGGTTTGTTCGATATTCTCGTTGCTATAGCCGATCTCGCCCCTAAAACCGCAAAGATCGTGCTCTCGATCTGCACGCTACTTCCTGTCATCATCTGTTACTCGCACGGAATAACGTCTCCACGAAACAAACCGTAATCTATTCTTTCGAGCCGACAAAACCTTATATCTTCTCGGTAGAAGCGACCGTCAGGTGGTTGTGTGTTCACGGACCGCCAAGGCGGAAGTTTTCCGGAGCGCAAGCGGCGGTCTAGGGATCGGCGTGCTATCGATTTCCAGTAAGAGCTGCATAAAAGGGAGCCACGAGTTACCGCGGAAAATCCCACCGTGCCACGTAAACCGAGCCTAAAGACCCTGCCGGGCTATAAACCAAGAACCGTTTAATCTCCGGCACAGTTGTAACTCGTGGCTACGAAGGCGTAGACGTCTCGGTTTAAGCCTGCAGGAAATAATCAAAGCGGCGATACCGCGCGGCAAGCAGTGGGTACAGCCTGTCGCGCGGGGGGCGGCACGATGCACGTGTACGTGAATTTAGGTGCGCCTGGAAACGTTCGTCTTGGTTCGGCGAGAAGGTAACGGTTT